TTGAAAATATATTTTTGGATATTCATAAATAAATTTGTCATTTATTTCAATTCAAGTTATCTTCACATTGTTCGAACATTGTTATGAGGTCTCACATATCAGAACAGTACTCATTCAAATTCGAAAAAATTAGAAGTCAAAATCATTCATTGGTTTTGTATATGAATAATTCATATGCTGTGTTGAATGAATTCATGCAGCCCTCTAATAGTTACATAAGTATGTAAGTATATTGCCATGCGGTTATGTTGATTTTTAGCTTTATGAAAATCCCTACACCAAAAAAAAAGAAATACTCGTATGCAAGTGAAATTCCAGCAGCGCATCTCCAATCCTGCATAAGTATGACCTCGTTCACAGTTTCCATTTGCCTTCGATTTTTTGCTCTTTTATTCACATTCATTGCAGTGATAACTTTTTATTGTTTTTCTGCTCCTTTCTTCTTCCGATGCTCTTCTTCTACTTATTTATTTATTTACTGCGGCAAATCGGTGAATGGCCACTAAGTGCAGCAGCAGATTTTCAAAAAATTTATGCTAATGGCACTTTCGTTCAATAAACGTTTGCCATTTTTGCTGCATTTAAGTGAAAAATAAAGGGTGTGAGAAAGGGATTTCAGAAAGCATATGGACAGTAGCATACGGAGTGCTTTTATTGCAAAATGACTAATACATAACATTAGTAGGAAGTGATCAATGAGAAGAAATGCGAACAGGCCATTCTTGAATAAGTATGCTAAGAAACTAGGTCATATAGCGTGCCAGAACTATGTGGCTATTAACCATTAAGCTATTAAGACTTAAAACTGAATTTGCCTGCGCGTCTAACTCTAAAAATAATTGAAGAGTTTTTATTTATTTATTGGGGGGCTTGATGGTTCACCTTCACCATAAAAATGTGTACTATGTAGTTACACATATGTAGTAGAGATGCCGTTTTAAAATCGATTAAATCGACGATCTATTAATCGCGCCCTTCCGATTCGATTTTCTGTCGATTTCTTAGTTCCAATTCGATTCGTGAATCGATTCAAAAAGTTCGATAATCAACATTCGATTTTTCCAATAACTCATTATAAAATTATCTCTATTAGCCATACAACAAAACCTCCAATCCAATCCAAAAATTGCAATCCTAAACTTTTTGCAAATTTCCATAAAAATTTTGCACTCATAATTACTCTATTTGCTTATTATTTTTAAAAATTTTCCCATTATTTTTAAAAGAGGTTGCAAATAAAAGGTATGAAAAAATGATAATAATTACTCTATTTAGAAACAATTTGAGCACGTATTCAGTTTTTTTAAGAAGGGTATTTAAGAAGAGAAATATGGGGTTAACGAAAACACAAAAATAAATTAAAAAAGCCTGTATTGCAAAAAAATATACATATGCACGTATACTTCACTGTATAAAACACTTATTAAAAAATAATAATTTTGAAGTAAAGCAAGATTTTTTCTTATGTGTGATAAAAAAAATCGAAAATTTTTTACCATTTTTTTAAGTAAGGCTAATGGAATTTCCACTCGGCATTAAATGACAAAAATTGTAATGACTAGTTTGGGCATTGTGTTTGTTTTCAGATGGCATTTTTAAAATAGCACAAATTTTTTGTCATTTTTAAAAATTAAATTTTTTTTTTTTCAAAAGTATGTTTTAAAAATTACTTACAATAAAAGTTTGTTTCTTTATAAAAATTAAGTAAAATACGTTGTTTGACAATATAAATGAATCGATCTTGGGCGATCGATTTATTATTTGACGATTTCTCCCTGCATCTATTATTTTTATTTCGGTTGGAATGGATTCAAAAATCGATTTTTTTCGATCTGGCATCTCATCTTACTTTCCCCTCTGTAATAATCGGACACAATCTATGCGATTATTACCTTTTCCTCCTAAGCATATCTTGGGACGAGGGTATTAAAACGAATGGACGCAAACGATTTTAAAATCAGTCTGCAAGAAGTGGTTTAAGATTGCTTACTATTAAATTATTTTTAAACGGATAAATTAATTGCCACATGAAGCCTTTTTGTTTCGATTTTTGAGAAAAAAAAAATATTATTTTTCATTTCTTTGGCTTTGGTAATAAAAATAAATACTTCGTGATTTTTAAGATCTTTTCGGGATTGTTTTTGGGATCGTTGAAGATTTTTCTCTGACTTTTCGGAATTACTTGTACTTTATTTTTCAGAATTTCCGGGACTTTTGGGGACCGCTTCAGCTTTTTTCAAAGCATTTCGGTAATTTCTTTTCCTTTCAAATACACATGTTCTATTTTCTTCGAATTTACGCTGAGGCGTGTTAATTATTCGAAAGCAATCGACTGTTCATGATTAGAGAATTAGGTAGGTACTAACTATTCACAGCTGAGGGCTAATTTACCGAGCGCCGCAGTCAGTTGTGAGGTGTAATCCCATTTGGCTCTGCATAGCAACATACATACATACATACATATGTATATGAAATAATAATCGTTTTCGTTGTTCGAACTTAATTCAAACCCACTGGATAGATTTCAGTAAAATTTTCGGATGTTATACCTTTCATATGTGGTCCTATTATAGGCTCCTAAAAAACTCGCTAAGTGGCGCTGAAGTCGGGTTATTAATAAATTATTATGAACCGATTTCATTCAAATTCAAAATAAATATATGTTACCTGGATGAGGAAAAATACGTCTGCCAAAAATACATCCGCTAGTTGGCGTTGGAGTCGAGAATCGTATTTTTGTGCCATCTGGATGAAATTCATATTGCGTATTCATTTCATGATAAGCAATTCTTCTGGAGAAAATGGACTCAATGGATGGCGCTTGAGACGAAATGTATAGAAACCCTGTATGTCTGGTCTGCCTTCGCCCTAAGATTCTTTTTGGGTGCATACACCCAGAAAAAAGGCAGCCAAAAATATTTAACTGAACACATGATTTGGTAACTATAACCAAATAATGTGACTATAACTAAATCATGTGTTGGGATAAATGTATTTAGCTGACTTTTTTCTGGGTGTAGAAAGAACGCTTTTGCGCGCCCTAAATACGATTTTGCATCTACCTTTGCTTAGTGAAATTACCCGGAGCGGCCGTTATTGCAACAGTAAGACTCAAGGAAACCAGCTTACGGCCGAAGGAATCTCTGGCCACTCAGATATTCTATACACATCAATGCATTACGGATATACATATTAAAAAGAAGTGTTTGATCAAAGGCCTAGAGAGAACAGAGGGGTATGTTTCTTCTGTGGCAGTGGGGCAGCTCTCAAAGCTTTACACTCATGCATAGATAATGCAAATTCACTTACTAAATATCGCACATCCATGATCGATATAGCCCAGGTGAGTAGAATCAATTTAAATGGCATACATATGTCCTTAGACGCTTGGATAACACGAATTGTAAAAGTGGCGAATTAGCAAAGAAAAATTCGACCACATCTTTCCAAGAAACAACACGTTAGGTATATCAATGGCTGCATTTAAACGATATTTAAGCGAACACACCACGACGCTGTGCGCTATTTGCGAGTATTCTTGGCCCTCCTATAACAGAAAACGCACATCTGTCTTCCCCCGTTTCCTTATAAGGGCTTTTATTGGCCCTATATAAGACTAGAGGTTGACGCATAGGGCCAACGTTGTTGTTGCAAGATCACAGAATTGGGCACGCCTGGCAGAGATCTCGCGGTAAAAAAAGACCTTGGGTAGGGATTAGTATTCCATAAATTATCAAAGCGCTACTAAAGCGCTAAAGCGAAACATATTCAATAGTATCAATAAGATTGGGCAGTAAATAAAGTCTTTAACAGCAGCAGCTCCCTAACACAATCAACTAATTATTTAGTAGAAGCATACATACATAAACAAAACCCAATTTCTATCTCCATACTCCATTGCTGTCAGTTTCATAAATTAATACATGTAAATACATATATCGAATAAATATATATTTAAACTCGAAAGGAACTCTGTGTATGTCAATATCCAATCGTTTAGTACATAGCTCTGTAATCACGCATATTTCCAATAAATTTTGCTATTTACAACATCTGTATGCATACTCTAAATATGTATTTTCGCAATTACAAATGCGCACACATACAGTGGCGGTCAAAAATGGATGAATGGTGTTTCGTTTTTAATATTTACAATGTTTTTTTTTCAAGCTAAAACTGATAAGAAAAAAAAAAACCGTAAAAGCCGTCTGCAAAAAAAAAATATTCAAAATCAATGCGATTTTTTAGCCGCACAAAGCTTGCATTTATTTTACTAGAATTTTTTAAGCTTGTTAACTGCATACCCCAAAAAATTCTAAAAAATCTGGTTAAAAAACTCGAAATTCAGTTAAAAAATTTTTGGAACTTTTCTAGGTTCTGTATAAAGTATGAAAGTGTGATTTATCTAGTTTTTGTTAAAGCATGAACCACCATATATTTATAAACAAATATCAAAAAAAAAATTAGTTTGAAAAATATTATAAAAATTAAAAACGAAACGCCATTCATCCATTTTTGACCGCCACTGTACATACATATGTATATATGTATCAACAACCACTTATTGCATTTATCTCAAACATCATCGATATTTATCAGCAACATAAGAAACCTTTTGCAAAGTTGCTAAGTGCATAAAAATATGAATTGGAATCGTTTAGATATAGCAAAATATACTTACATACATACATATGTACATAAAAACCTAATAAACACATTTAAGTCAATGGACACGTCTTGAAAACATAAACCAGAGGAAGCACAGAAAAAGAAAAAAAATTTAAGAAACCGAAAATTAAATAAACAGGTAAATCTGCAATAAAACATGCAGTTAAGAAAAAGAGCCAAAAAGACTAGCCTTTGTGTGGCGCATAAAAAGTTGCAGAAACTTTTTGTAAACGTGTTTGACAAATTTTTCTGGGGGTTCTTCGCTTGTTTGCTTGTTGTTGTCATGTTTTCTTTTACTTTTAGTTTGTTTGAAACTTTTTCGATAAACTTACCTTGTACAATTAATTTAGCATAACTGGACTCGCGTGTGCCAACCAAATTCTGTGCAATACATTTGTAGTTGCCCTCATCGATGGGCTCCACATTGCTTATCAATAAATTGCCACCATCGACGACGCGTATACGTGATGTGGGTCCATAAGATTTCATCTTCAAATCATCCAACGGCACACCGTCCTATAAATGAATAAAGCAGAGGAGAGAGTGATAAAGAGGATTTGCAAAAAGGGCTATTATTATAAGTATTAGGAGGATTTAATAAGCAAACAAAATCTTGTGGTGGAAAAAATCTTTTTTTTAAATGCATAAGAAAACTTCAGTTATGGAAATTAAATAATAAATTTGCGCACTTGTCAAATCCCATTTTTGCTGCAAACGAAATATTCCTTCGAAAAATTACCAAAAAAAGAGAGACTATTTTACTTCAAAAACCACAAGAAATATTTGCTTAAATTTAAAATTTTATAAAAAGTTACTCAAAACAGCTAAAAATAAATAAGTTTGGCATGAAAAATGCGTCTTTAGCGGCCTTAAAATCATTCATAAATCATCATTCACAAATCGATGGCTAAGTGGAAGATCGACCTATCTCGGTAGCCAATTTGGCACCTTTCGTTGTCCAGCTAAATAAGCTGCAGAATCTCACTGTCTTCGGATGGTTCGGCTGGTACCCAGGCCCAGACTTGCAGCCTGCTAGAATCGAACCAAGTCTGACCTGGATCACAGCTGTCCCATAAAATCGATTGCCTCTTTATACAGCACAGCAAAGCATTCGTCGGTGTAGTAGACTAGAAGCTAACCGGAATCGCGTATGACTGCTGCAGGGCCAAGATTCTTCTCTTTGTACACCCTTCATAGTCATATAAAAATTGTCTTCCAGTTATCCGAAGAGATGTAGCAGTCAGGGTGCCCTATCCAGCACTGTCAACGTAAGGGGTCCTTGGCCGCTTCGCTGAAGGTCTAATAAGACAGGGACGTAGGGACTTGTCATCCAAAGATCGCTGACTTTGTAAGTTCTCTTGGGGCGTTGGTGTAAAAACCGCCGCCATTCCTATTTTGTGCTTCTGACTAGCGCCGAAACTCCTTTTTGACCATTTTAGCTTGGTTCGTTGCTCCAAAGTCAGCTCATTGTCAGAAATGGAGACGAGCTTTTGGATGATTTTCGGTGCAACTCGGAGATCGCGGTGAGCTCCGATGGATAGCGCAACCTTTATTTAAGATTTGGAGCATTGCCGAGGAAGAACTTACGCAGGTTGCAGGCTCGGACGTCGAATGGCTATCCATAGATTACTACGTGCCGGCGTCCCTGGCCTATGTTTGAGTTTTCAGTTTAGGCCTAGGGAGACGGGCAACCGTGTGCCTTCCACCGATTTAAAACATCACTCGAGGGGTAACTCTTGCGGAAATCTTTGGAGGTAGGCTTGCCCACGGGGGGGTCTAGCCTTTCCCTCCGATGTTGCAGGCGAGCTAAAAGGGGTTTGGTTGGGAGGCTTAGGACTTAATTTTATTGCCGTGACCGATGACAGCACTTATACCCGTGCGGGAATCTGAGGCTCTTTAAAAAAAAATCATAATCTAAGTCTTTGGTCACCTACACAGATGAGACCTGTCGGATGTCGTAAACGGTTGCAGAGAAAAAAAACGGTTAGCTATGGCAGAGCTCTTGTCGCAGCAAGTTCACCGTTACTCCCGGAGGCGTACAGGTATCCGGGAGACACCATTAGAATACAGTCGGAAAGCCCTCTGGATTAGGAGAAGAGGGTAGAATGGACACTCGCCGGGCCTTTATCCGTAGTCTTCTCTGGAAAGAGGGTAACCTCTTGCAGGCTGCGCTGTCGCGCACTACGGTCTGGATGTGGGAGTGTCTAACGGAATCAACTATGTGCTGTGCTATGCTTCATCGACGTCTGTATATCTTATTAGCAGTAAGTGAAATTAACATTTTTGTATATACGAAATTTTCTCTATTATTTTTAGCGTGTATAATTTTAGTAAATTTCGGCACTGATTGTCTATCTGATACAAAGCCGTTCTGCGGAAATACTTACAAATATTTTTCAACAAATTTTGAAACGAAATAGTTTTAAGGTTTCTCTAAAAAACTGAAGGAAAAAAAATTCCACCATTGCCAATCGCATTTGCAATTCATATAACTCTGCAGCCAATTTTTTCCACACGCCAACGATTTTCACTTACATTTTCGCTTGACAAATACAGAAAGACACCTTCACCGCCACTGTGCCGTGCCGCACAGTCTGTGCGTCTCCTAGCTGCATATAATTTTCAAAGCGAATTTATGCACAAACATTTTACTCTATGACAGCTAGGCGCATAAATAATTTACTGCTTTTCCATTTGTGCAAATAAATATGGCAATATTTATGATATGTGTGTGTACATATGTATGTATTTATGTATGTATCAATCTTGCTTTCGACGTAGGTGTACGTGGATTCACACACACATACGTACATACATATGCATATACATATAAGCAAGCAGTAGTTAAGTGTAAATTCGTCCATTTGTATGCTTGACAGCAAAAGAACGCCAGGTCACATGCTGCGCAAATAATATGCATTTTTTATTTCATTTATCTTCTGCCTTGCAAAGAAAGAAGAAAAAAAAACTGCACTTAAAGGAAAAATGTGAAACTTTTAGCTTGTCGCACTTGTCTGTCTCAAAAGCGTGCGCATCGCCATTTCACTAGCTAATACATTATATACGCTTGTCAAGTATTAGATGTTGCACGAACTTTTCCACTCATAACGGTGACACATGTTGGTGCAACAGGCGGAACCGTACAAAATCATTGTGGGGATGCTGCGGTGATATTTAGTTTCTTATATTATTTTCAGGCTAATTTTTAACTATTCAATGATTGAATGCATTTATTTTTTTTGTTCTTACTCACCTTAACCCATATTAGCGCCGGTTCGGGTGTACCTTTTGGTGGTCCACACTCAAGCAAAGCTGTTTCGCCTTTGGCCACACGCGTGTCCTTGGGTTGAGAGCGGAAGTCATCGCGAAGAACTGTAAAAAAATAATAATATAAAGTGAGGTTAGAAATATTTAAGAAAATTTCCGTAACAATAAAATATATACACTGCCGGAACAAAGTATTGGCGCAGCAAATTTGTCACAATATATGCAACAATTTTTATTATAATATTCTTTCGCCAATTCCGATAAAAATATGGTTCATTCTGCAACAACAAAACATAAAAATATATTTCCTAAAGTTTGTGCAAAACTCGCGAAAATTCAGATTTTTTAGAATCTTTTTGGGTATGCATATTTATAGCCTAATCAATTTTATCAAAGTACAAGTTTTAAGCAGCTAGCTAAGAATTACCGTTGATTTTTGGCAATTTTTTTCACGCAGTCTCTTTCATACAAAATTTTTTTTTTCGAAAATACTTTATTTGGAAAAAATGCAAAACACCCTAGTAAATACCAGGCGCGCTTCACTGCGCCTTTAAGGTGTTCTTGTGTTGTTACTTCCTCCCAAAACTCTTGTGGTCTCATTCGTAAAAATAAAATAGATTTAAAAAGCTTAGTGAAGGGAGCTTTTCAAAGAAATTTTCGATTAATATTTTCGAAGGTATGTATTTAGATAATAGGTAGAGTATCGGCTTTCTCCTAGAAATTTAATTCATAACTTTATAAATCGAGTCTACATATCGAACACCTCTTCAGGGCTGTACTAATTTAATACTTATCTTAACTGATCAATTTCACTAAATTCACTTTTTAGTCAAATAGGTGGTAACCCGTTTCAAAAATACGTTAGACAGTGAAATTTTTTAGACCTCTTTAGTTTAGTTTAATGAAAAAATCAAATGTACATTAGCGTGCGCCGAAAATCCACTACTTTTTTAGAATTTTGATGGGTAAAAATATGGGCAAAAATATGGTTCATTATGCTCTTAAAAAAAGGTGTGTGGAAGATGAAATTTGTTGGTCAATATCTTAGACTCGCCCAAGTTCATCAAAGTTCAATGCGCTCAAAAAATAAAAATTAATTAACATTTTTTTTTTTCACTAAAATTCATAATCTTCGAAAGTATTCGTCCTACATAATTTGGTATATGGACCATTTTTGTAAAAATCAGATCAGATTTTTTTTTACCACTTGAACTTTGATGGACTTGGGCGAGCCTAAGTTATTGACCAAAAATTTTAATCTCGCACACAGATATTTTGTTAGAGCATAATGAACCATATATTTGCTATTAGCAATCAAAATTCTGAAAAAGCGGATTTTCAGCCCACGCTAATGTACATATATGTATATTCTTTTCCAATGCATATCTACTAACTATTTAAAATATATATATTTTTTCCCCATTGTTTAAACTTCATACATTTCTTTCCTCTGAATAAATGACACATAGCGGCACAATTAAAGTCGTTAAAATTTTCAAAAATATATCAATGCAATTTTCCATTGAACTATTCAATAGTTGCGCTTATTTCACGCCGCAACATGCAAGTGGCAACTTGACAGGGTGAAAATTTATGCTGACACTTGCTGGCGTTGCATAAACAATAAGCTGCAGTTGAAAAATTAAAACAAAAAAAAAAACGAATTGCAAATAAAAATCTGTAGCAAAAGACAATGCCAAATCGCAGAGCCAATGCGAATAATAGCACCAAACAAAGTAAATATGATATGTGTGGTGTAGGTATGAATGAGTGCATGTATGTGGGCGCAACAAAGTGGCCAAAAACGACCGAGCTGTGAATTGTGGTAGAAAGAGTGCAGGAGCAAATACAAATACAAAAAAAAAAAACTTTTGTATGAAACTGAATTGAATTGAATTGAATTGCTTTTCAAAGAAAA